CTCTAAGAAGAACTAGTTAGCAGAACAGTAAATGACAGAAAAGTAGAAATCAAGCTGTAAACCCTTACTTCACACGTGAATTCAACTGCCTGCTAAATACTCAGTCTGTCTACTGGATCTATCTTTATGCTGAGCTCCAAAAATTCAATCTTTCAACAACATCCATTGAGCATTTCCTATAAGCATGAGTAAAATTAAACTCTGAGTGGTGAGTTGCTGTTAAAATCCTAACAAATTTCACGTTTCTCTGTGATATCAGTAAATGTTATTCTGATTTAGTTTTTTAAAAACTGACCTACATACATTTCTAGCTCTATTTATTGTGTTTTGCTGGAAACTAGTCGTTTTATTTTGTGTCATTACTAAATATCAAAAAATTCACTTCTAATTCTCCATCAATACAAGTCACCTTCAATGACTGTTCTTATCACACAGAGTAAGAGCTGTCTTGATGTGGTAAACAAGAAAGTTCTTCGAAGTCACAGACCATTGATTAGATGAACCATTAAATCAAGTGTTCCCCTTCTGCATATCCTTGTTTTGATACATTAGAATGAATGAATAAATTATACCTACATCTTCGTATAAATAGCTAAAATACCAATCACTTCATGAGAATATTCTACTCGGGAAGAAGAATCTGACTAATCATCTATGCATGCTCATTCAATTTATCACAATTTTCACTTTCATACTTCTAAGCCGAAACATAGAATTTACTTTAGATCAGTACTTTATCACAGGTTGAAAAGTTTCCATTTCTAGTCTATTGTAGTTTACAAGTGAAAAGTGATAAACTTAGGCAGATCATCGATCTATCGACTACAAGATGAATGATGATAAAGAATCATGTTGTGATACAGAGATTTAATAGAAAATTTTGTTGATACAAATTGGAGAGTTTGTTATTCACTTGATATCCTAATCATATCCTACTTGCAATTCCCATTTCCACACTACCAAACCTTTAGGTTGTGACACATATTACCATTTTGTCAATTATCTCTCCTCATTATAATGTAACTACGTAAGTTGTGTATGCTGAGTCGTCACCTCATGTCTATCTCCTGCATAACTCAAACACTTCTACACCTCCTCCCTGTAACATAACACCCAACAGTGTGGATAAAATACCTACCAACAACTGGTTGTTACAAACAATAAATCATAACCCGTTAAAAGTGATTAGAAAATTTGAATTAGTCATTCATTAAATGCTCATCAACATCAACAGGAGAAACGTTAAGGAAGTAGCCTCTTTCACCTACCTACCTAGGCAGCATCGTTTGAACTACAGGCGGCGGTGAGACAGATGAGGACGTCATGCCAGGATCAGAAAGACAGCAAGACAGGCCTTCATTAACCTGAAACAGGGGTGGAGATCTACTGCACTCAGCACAAAGCGTAAACAAGATCCACATTTTCAACACCAACGTCAAGTCAGTGCTTGTGTATAGTTCAGAAACTTGGCACGTCATGAAAAGTATTTCCAACAAACTACAGACATATATCATAGACAGCTGCTGCCTACGCTCACTCGATATTGAAGATTAGATGGTCAGAATAAGCAAAAGGAACTCTGGTTGCCTGGCAACGAACCAACCAAGAAACCATCGCCTAACAAATATGGGGAAGAAAGCGGAGATGGATTAGGTATGCACTGAGAAGACCATTCGGAGACATCACGCGCCAGGCCAGACCCTCGAGTCGAACCCAAAGGGGAAACGACGAGTTGGGCATCCGAGGGTAACATGGAGGCACCCAAGGGACAAATTACTAATAAATAATATTCACCACACAATATCTTGAATTCGTCAGCTTTCCCAGTTCAAAATATGTTTGATCCATGTTTCTTCTTTTGTGCTGAAGATTATAAACAAAATACTTAACACAATTACTAATGGCCTTACTGTATTTACAATAACAGACCTATTGTAGAATCTCCATTCTAGCAATCTACTTTTGGTAACAATACAATGGGTATGCAACTGTCTAAGCTGTTACCATACAGTTCAAGTGAACACCATTTGGTGTGTGCTTTCAATGGCTGAATGCTCTTACAAGTTTAAGTAGTATTTCCAGTTTATAAATAATCCTGCTAAACTCTTCCAAACTCTGATTATATGCAGCATTTACACATAAAATCTAAGTCCTACTTCTTAAAACTACTCTATTTAACCTATGCTTTCATAGTGTAATATGTTTTCACAATGACTACAATAACAGTAGAGTAATCTCAGTGTAATGTTTTCAGATGTTGTACCTGAGTCAATTAATCTTTGAAGAATATCCTAAAGTATCTTCATTGACTAGTTACTTGAAAGTGTATGGAAATAATCTGCTTCTTTTGTATGACAAACAATCCACTAAATTCATTCCATAGCTAAACATATAAGTTTTAACAGTTGAAAAGTGATTCAATACAGAAGGGAATAGTTCGTTTTCACCAGCTATTCACAATGGTGACATCATATAATCTGATGACCTATCATTGACTTGATGTGTTTACATACGACAGACCTTTTGACTAATGATCATCTTGTATACTGATTTGGTGTATCACTAAACTCTGATTCATTTCAGTGTACTTTTATATTTGACAACCACATGAATATGAAAACACACTTATGTGATAACTAGACATGCCTAATAACTCAACATAGATTACTGTTTCATATATACAACCCAGCAAACTTAACTAGTTATGCATGCAAAACCCTACAACCTTTAGACATTTTATATTAATTTCGAGGAAGTACACGGAAACTGATATATATTCGGGTAGATTATTACTGTTAATGAGTTGTCAGAAATGTATTATAGTGGAAGATGATTCATCCAAGACAATCAGTGAGAGCCATAAACTCAGGTTTCTTGCATGTTGATATTAATATGATAAATATTTAACATGAAAGGAATTTACATCCACTCAACTAAATGAAATTGCATCAGTCAATACTGAAACCAAATACCCTACCACCAAGTTATTCAAGCCATCACTGACTGTCTGACTGACTTCTTGTAGCAGTGAATCAAGTACACCAATGCACCGGCCTTTGATAATCGAATGGAACTATCAAGTTTTATATACTTCTGAAAACATGATGAACGCTATCTTGTGTTGAATAACAATACAAATATTTCACTAATTTTTATCGCAACATATTCATCCCATCATCTTCGACAAAAATGAATCTTCTCTACGGAAATCTATTTATAAACAGGGATATTGGCATCCAAATGATAAGTAGACTGATATAAACAAGTTTAACTAGGACTTATGATCACATAGGTGATATGGAAGAATCCTTAAAAGAAGTTAGACAATGTCAGTGTGCTTATTTAGGAAAACATTGGACAAAATGAAGTAGGATAAAGTTTAGGTCAGGTTAGTAAACCAGTGTTTAGGGAAAAACTATCACAATCCACTTTGAACACAGCATAGTCGTGTACCAATGGTTATGCTTAGAGGATTACAATTCGATCGATATACATGACATCCCATGTACCCAGTGAGATGACTTTAAACAACACATTTCTGAAGTCTTTGCAAATGTCAACTTCACATGAGCAAATGAATTGGCTAGTGTACATAGAAGCGGACAACAGCTGAATGCTTTAGTATATTCAGTCATTTGACAGTTCTAGGCTATTAGTACTACTAGTACTGCAAATCACACCATTTTTGTTATGCCCACGGACCATTCTGTACCCTTCTGTGTACCAATGCACAGAATTATCACTCAGATAAAAAATCCTGGTGGGAACAACATTACTCACCGGGAAGCGGGTACACCCAGCTGACGAGTCTCAAATAGGACGAAATGAGCGTTCTGGATTCGACTGCTAGCCACTATCCATCATTAAAAATCACAAGTTGTTAAAAACTAAATGAATCCTACAACTGAATAGATAAAAACTTGGCAACCTGCCTTTCTGTGTGGAATATGATCAACATACAGTAAGATCACTATAACCAACCAAAAGCAAGTCCCTATCAGATTTCATGACTAATCCACTTAGGAACTATATACACGAACCGTAGGTAATGAGTCACACTTATTGCATGACGGTTAACAACACTAACTGGTTGACAAAGCCTAGGTAGCTGGAGCTGGATTCGACACCGCCATACCTCTGTTGGAAATCAAGTGTATAGACCAGTGAGCCACAGTTGACTATGGTTAACCAGAAAGCAGTAATGCAACAGTTCCGAAACACAGATATCTATCAGAGATATTTCTAATGACTCTATATTTCCAGAATCGATGGACCCACACTATGTGGTGAAATTATCCTTCACGATTTGTGCATGAATACTACACAACATGGCAACTGGATAACTTGGATTCTAAGTTGTGATTTACTTTTTCAGCTTAGTTCTGATAGCAGTCAACCAGATTCGATCACCATAACTGAAAGCTAAGAATCCTCAGTACGCAATTTCACAAGGAGTGGTCGGTTCACTGGGATTATATTGCCTTCTTCTGTATGTGTGTAGATAGACAGAGTACAACTTTAAAACTCAATCACAACTTTCTCTTAAACACAGAAACGTAGAAGTGAAGATGAAACACAATAACAAAAACAACGACAGAAAGAATAAGCAACAAAGAACTCTGGGAACGAACCAACCAAAAACCTATCGCTCAGGAAATATGCAGAAGAAAGTAGAGAAGGCCGATTGGGGACATCATGCGTCAGGCCAGGCCATCGAGTGGAACCCAGATAGGAAGCAACGAGTTGGACGTCCGAGGGTGACATGGAGGAGATCGTGTGAGGAGGAAATGAGAGCTTCTGGGCTATCGTAGAGCCAGGTTCAAAAGATTTAAGAGAACAGAGTTCACTGGAGACGTGCTACTGAAGCCCTATGTTCCATTAGGAACCCAAGGGACAAATAATAATAATCCAGTAAATGCTACTGTTTCACTGTGTGATACTTCTCATAAACAGACTAAAATGGAATAATAATAATTAATAATATATAAAACAAATGGTTTCTACCACTTCATAAAATTATCTTTTATTGGCAGTAGTAATACAATAGAAATGAGAAAAGTGAACATTTCCATTGGTAATATTTATAACTTAATCATATTCAGAGGAAACATTCAATAAACGAAAGCCTTAGGATTTATACATACATCTAGATGGTCATATCCAAAATCGATGTTCAGTGTACAATAGAAACCAAAGAGATCTAACAAGCAAACAATGGAATTCCTTGTGATGAAGCACTTCATCCAGAGTTAAACCACACACTTGCCAAACGCTCTATGTCACAAAGACTCATTGAATTCAATTTAGCTGACAATATCTACAAGCAAAAAGTAAACGAGAACAATGGCAAATAAATAGTAAATTATTATATCGTTCACGGAACCGATGTATTCTGATGACTAGGAAAGTATAATTCTAATTCAACCACCACCCCTGGCCCCTCCACACATTTCACCTTACATTGCCATCGAATATTAGTCAGATTGGTCACCAATATCTCATTCATACTATCTATTCGACACAATCTTGAAAAACGCCAACATACTTTTAGCTTCTATTTTCCACTGAATAAGAGAGTATTCTCTTCAACCACCTCGAACACCATTAAACAGCATACGTATATATCCTAGCAACATTAAATTGATCTCAACTTACACTTCAAGTATATGGAACACTAAATGGTGAATACGCAGGGTTATAATCTACAATCAAATGACACTACATGGTTTTTTCTCGAATGATTCTTACTTTAGTTCTAAAACATGTCCATCCGAATGGTATTTATCAAAGCAAGAGGTATAAAACTTCGAGGTGCTACTGGTTTTGTGATGACTAACACTGGAATGAGCATTTTATTTTCACATTTGAAACTCGTCAGTCGGATGTATGCGTGTGCACATGGGTGTGTGAAGATGCTTTCCTTGAGACTGGAATTGCATCGAAATGCGCTCAGCAACCTCGCGCACATTCATGCAGTAGGCAATTAACCACACCCATTGTGTGAGGTCTAGTGATACTACACGGCTATCCAAACCTCTATAGGTGGAGTGTGGCTCAAATTTGTGACCCATCGGTTGAAATTGTCACCTGCTTAAACCAATGAAGCATAGCTCCTGGGACTGGCAACTTGCAAAGATTGTTTTCTGAACATCCGAGTGCTAGACAATTATCTACCGAATTACAAAAATCACCGTTCGTACAGAGAGTATAACTTGTTACTTGTTTGATTATTGATAATTGTTATTTCTACTTTAGTTATCAACATATAATCAATAAAGTGACACGATGAAATCAATAAGCTTCCCTGTCATTTCCACATATATTGTGATAGTGAGCTATTCGGTAATACCTGACAAGTCAAGGAAGCGGTAAGCAAACAGAAGACAGAAAAAACGCAAAAGCTTACATACAAGCGCATTAGTTACCAGGGGAGTTCGACTCACATCCTTTACGTGGCGGGGGACGATTTTCACATAGAAGGGTGGGTGAAAACTAACGATTGGTAATATAATCCAATTGGTATGCACAGAGAGCACACATAGGGGAATTGGAAAGCCTTGACTCCACACTAGTGGTCACAAAGGTCCCACCACCCAAAATAGAGGGAGAGAGTAGGAACCTATCTCAGTCACTGTCATCCATGGGAATGCAGCATTTAACATTGCTTAAATGAGTTGTCAATCAGACTTCAAGTAAAAGGTTCAGAAGCAATTCTTTGGGATGATTAGCTACTCCAGGTTGTGTCTAGATAGGGTCAAAGTCCACATGCAATTTATGAATCAACACTAATGTCGAGAACTTTCAAGTACTCAACATATTTCGGCTTAAGAAACAAAATCTATTTTATGACGAACCACGCTTTCCCCCTAAATTTATTTCAAGCGTTTCCTGAGGTGCATTTCTGCTTCACCCAACTACTCACCACTGACTAGAATTCTGGTCTGTTAGTCACTTAGGAGTTGCTCGCAGAAAGCTGTCCTTCACTGCTATATCTGACAATTATTTTGAAACTATGTGCATCGCCTAGGCTGATCACCTAACGTTCGGGCCTTGATACAGACAGGGAGATACATAAGTTCCGCTAGGACTCTAAAAAACACTAACATTGATACATACCGTATCTGAGAGACCTACATACAAGATCACAGTGAAATGTTTCGAAAACCTTCATCAATCAGCTGACAAGTGTATCCACACTGTACTTATGCAGGGTCAGCAGGTCATCGTGATGATGCTGGTGTCGTACAAACCCTTGAGCCAAAGTTACACAGGTCGGCTGGATTCATATTAATAGTCATCTGTGCACTATTAGATTAGGTTTGACCAAAGTAAAAAGTAACTGACGAGGGAAATAATGTCTCTTCATTATCTGTCTACTCTTGTGGTGAAGTTACGGATAAGTTCTACCATCATGAGTGGTTTTTTCTTCCAGGTGTGCTCGACACATATCGCAATAGTAGCTGCAAACTTGAATTCACAAGCTGGCCGTTTAGTTCCAGAGGAGAGTCGTTTACGGAGCCAGTGCGGACTACTCGGTAGCACGTCAGATAACGGGGACGTTTCCTGCAGTTTCGAGCAGACGATAATACTTCTGGTCAGCGCCAAATTCCATCACAACCATTCCTACTGTTCTACCTGGCGTCCTCTTCCTGTCACTCAAAGCTGAATTAGAACAGATCACATTGCGACCAGCTAACATTAGCATGAGTGCATTCAGGAATGCCGCTTTTTCTAGAGCACTTGTCTGGACTCTAACCACCCTTCAGACTGTTTTAAGCTCATTTTACGTTATGATCATCAACATCATCATCATAAAGCGGTTAACGTAAGCAAACTGGTTAAGCCTAGTATTGCAGCTAGATACCATACCTATCAAGATTCAAGATTACCAATATAACCTCCAGGAAGTATAGATGAGCATTCGCTGTACTTACAAGACACCTTAAAAATGATAACTTTCGAAATAAACAACACCCACCCAGAAAACTTGCGCATAATCGTGCAGTAAACAATGAACCACACTCACTGAATCAGGGCTAATGACACTACCTGGTATCCCCAAATCTTGGCAGGTGCAGTGGTGTTCGAACCAGCGACCCACTGCTTGAAGGTCAACTCCCCAAACCGACGAACTACAATTCCAGAAGTGACGGACTAAATGCCACCTGCAGCTTTAAAGAACGCCCAATCAATATACACTTGGCCTGAAAGCTAGCTGCAACCTTTTAATTATCGTCGATTTATTCCAGCAGATGGCTAGTACAATAGTACGACAGTCCCTTGAGCAACAGACCTAGGAGCATTTGGATAACGACTGCAAGGCTGAGTAGTTAGAATCTACATGAGGATAAAGCAGCAGCTGCATCTAGCAATGGTTGGAATGTGCTCCAGATTACAAGAGCTACCGGAGACAAGAAACCAGGTGTCAGTGAGATGTTTTGCTAGGTAGATGGTACACTAATCACCAACTTTAACAAACGTCTAGAATGCTGAGTGAAGCCCTCCGGAAAGCAGTTTTGCCAATCTACTGCCTTAGAAACACTAACCTGTGTCCTGTGTTACATGATCTGTTGTGACCAACCCACCAAGGAAGTGGTCAGTAAGGAACTCGAAGTTCTAAAGCGCTGTCAGGCACCTAGACTAGGCAACCTACCCTTTTAAGAATGGAACTGAAACTAGTCAAAAAGATGACTTCTTTTTTTAAGTGTATAGTAGACTGTGTTAGATCATTCGGGAAAGCCATTGTTGTACTTATCTTCAGAATTGGTCTGCGTAATGTATGCGATAATCAGGGTGTCAGTTCGCTACCGGTAACACGTAAAGCGTTGGCTGCAACCATACTACACAGACTGCGCGAAACGCGTAAAAATCTGATCTGCGAGATCCAGACCAGGTTTTGTTCAGGTCTTAGATGGTGCACTAGTTGTGTTTAACCTTCGTCAAATGCATGGACAACACCAGACGTATTGCAGGCTAACGACCACTGTATTCCTGAATATTAGGGCTGCCTTCGATTCGTTGTGCTCTAAAACTGCACGTTAGAGTGTCCCTCAGAAGTCTGTTAACAACTAGAGAGCTCAATGTCTCAAACTTTGCGTGAGGTGGAGGTATCCAGCCATCTGCCTTCATTGGTCTAAACAAATAGTGATGTTGGACAAGGCTGCACGACTTCGCTATTCCTCTTCAACTTTGCCACCTATGGCATTCTTGCAACAGCACTGAAGATGCATGGTGGTGTACACCCACCACTAGGTGGAAGACACTTTGACCGCAAGTATCCGGACGACATCGCTTTATCGTCAACTGCACATAGGCCTCTCAAATGGTCGTAATTAAAATATTCGATAGGAAAATTTTTGCAGCCGACAGCAGAATGTTTGTAAACACATCGCAATCAAAGTCACATAGCGGCTGTCTGATGGTATTAACGAATCACCCGCCACTCTACTGAAGCAAAACAACTTAACTGGATATTCTGACATGGATGTGCAAATGCAGTGTCGTGATGGATACAGACGATTGTCACTTGATGCACATATGACCAGCCTTCATTGACTATAAGTTAGTCAGATTGGGTTAGGACTTAGTAGGGTTGAAGAGTTAGTGTAGTTAAATGTATATAGAGCGTACGTGCTGAATTCCCGAAGTAGGGTTAGCACTTGTCGAATGGAAGTTCTTAATTCTCTCACTTTAAACCATAGTCATGTTTTCACGAGATTTTCCCGAGAGCATCTGCAACATAACTATAGGTTTGGCTGCCACTATATCACAGTATTCAGTTTGAGGAATTATATAAGTCCAGCAACATGAGATTATATTTCGAAAACCAACAGAGGCAGGACGGTTAAGACGCATAGCAGGACATTAGGGGAAAAGAAACAAGGACAAACACTGAAAAGTGGAGAAAATGAAGGGCAACCTTGGGGCGAAACGAAACAATTTTGCAGAAGCTCTCACTAAACTTTATGAAAATTCTACCAGGGTCCTGTGATGCAGAGTTAATAATGACATATTTCGGTTTTCAAGAATAAGGATGTCAATAACCTATGATAATCATTGCTAGTGGGAGTACTTACATGACTGCCTTACGAACGAGGTAGCCAAAGGAGACTCACCTGTAAAAATTTCGGCACTATGACATCAGGATTCATCTCAGGTAGTTTCTCGGCTAAATATTTTCGGAGTAGTGACTCGAAGTCACTACGGTGGTTCGTATTTTTTGTCAACAAAGTGAGTCTATCACCATCCTTTATTTCATAATTTAGAAGAAGCTTGTTTCTGTCTGACATCTGTAAGATAATCTTATTTTAATTTACCTAGAAGAGGGCATCCTTTATAAACCAATCGCTGGTACTCAGGATCGATATCAAAAGCACACTTTACTGCAGCCAGCAGGTCTGAAACGTAAGCTCCATCGTCGACCTACGTTGAAACACTCTAAAAACGTGATGACGACTGACCTGCACCACCTTTTCAGCACGTGTAAGCGGTTTTACTCTTAGTTGCATTTATGACATAACAACCGCTCTTGTGGTATGCAGTAAAACAAACACAACCATTGTGATGTAGGCCAGACAGTGTTTTGAACGAACACAATTTTCTTGCCTATTTATATAGGTTTTTAAATGTCACGTCTCATTTTAACAGCTAATATAACTATTACTATTCGAAGATAACCAATTGATTTCTTCAGAGGTGATTCTGAGTGTTGTTGAGCAGTTGTATGAGGAAAAGGAACTCACCTCCATAAATCAAGATACCCATCCCTTAAGAATCTATCAGAACCAGAATGCAACTCGGTATGAACTTATTTGAGAGGAAAATATTTGATATATGACAGTAGTCCTACCTATGATGGCAATCATGAAACCCGGCTGATAGAGAAGTTTGGAGTGATCAATAAAGTTATGTGACAAATGATTGAATAGGCAAAGCAAGCATAGTCATAGTTTGCGTACTAGCACGGAAGCAAAGCTTTGAAATATTAGTTAATAATCTACTCCTACTAGTAGGGTCAAATATGTTTAGAGGCACGTTTTATTAAGTGGTTGTCTTCATATGGTCGACTACCACTTGCATGTGCCTGGTATTGGTTTGTACACTTGTTTATTGAAGACGCCTCTTGAATTTTCGTAGACCTCTGGGCAGCTTATCAGGGTCAAAATCCCATTTTTCACAATACATGCTACTCAAGTATACATTCTCGCCATACATAAAACTTGCACTCGTCTAGTATACTCCTATATGATGATATTGTGTAATATATTTAATACAGCATTAGCTACATGCAAACAGACCAGTTTACACGTCTGATAACTTTGGTGATATGAATTCATTCTTATGCAGAATAAAATCCAGTGCATTAGACACCGTTATTATAGGCAAACAAAAGATGGCTATATAGGTAAGTTTTAATATAATCTCCGAGTGTTTTAGGAGATTCGTAACAAATATAGTCTGGATGTTTATGACACAAAAGATGGGTTCAGAAAACGAATGTCAGCCTTTTGGAGGACAACAAAAATAAAGTAGCTAAAAACAGGGCGGGTAGTGTAGCCGTGACCTTGAAACCTCTGCATTCCTCACAAAGTTGTGACGACATGAGGAAAGCTGACAAATGCAATCACTAGGACTCCAAATGAATGAAAGACCGATCAGTTACACCTGTAAAATGAATAACAAAAGCGAGCGGCAGGCAGAACTCAAAATAGTGAGGTTGGAAATTAAACGCCTGAGTTCTATATGGCTGCAGTGCACCTTCCTGGCACCAAAATACAACTTGGGCTAAAATAAATAGATTAAGTTAAGTGAACTAAATAAACCTTTAGCTACGCCTCCGGATGCTTTCGGTGTATTAAGTTTTGTTTTAACGAGCATGCATCCCAGCAGGTTCGGACGCCATTTCGCGCTCCCCTAGTGCTGGTTAGCACGCACCCACTCAGAGTCCCTAGTCGAACCATACTAGCCAGATAAGTTGAATAAACTTTTCCCCTATTCATTACTATTACATTTACTCCAACTAAACACATTACCTCTTCGAGTATATTCCTGAGAGCAGTTTTCTTGATTTGCGTTTCACTATCGGTACTTACACGTCAGGTAAGGTACTGGTTGAGCAGGTATTAGAGCACATGAAGTTGAGTAGTGTTGGTCAAACGTTACGGAATAGTAACCCAAAGTAGAACCCCCCTACATGCCCATGAGCGCTTGTCATGCAAAAAGTTGTATGGGGTAACCCTGATAGCCTCACTGGTTGTAAATACTTAAGTAAAGAAGCACGAGTTGATCCATGCATCGTTAAGAAATCGTTAGTGAACCAACCCAGCTGCTACATCACATTTCGTCAGCCCGGTTCAGTGGTGTTAGTTATTCCAATTTCATCTTGAAAGACATTTCTTACTGTCTTAAGTCCTCAAACTCTACACAACGCTTCAGTCTGAATGACGTGTCGAGTTTTATGTTGACTAAATGTTTGTCATGTCACCCATTAAGCAACGTTTTTAAAAACTCGTTCTCCTAAAAGCTTTGTCAGACTCTTGGAAAGACAGTAAGATATACTCAGTGCCTAAGTCAGCCATTTCGGGCGCATGTTCAAAATTCAGTCCAGTTTCGACTACTCTCCTGTTCTTGAGGAAATGAAGAAGTTAATGTTATCTCTGCTTCAACCTTCGTTGAAAGTTTTCAGAGATCCCAATCATTTGCATGGAGAAGAAAAGAAGCAATCTGAATGCTGCAGGCGTTTTATTCAACAATACTGCTTACAGCTTCAATTGAAGTGTGGGGTATGTGTGGTGTGCCTTTTTAGACCATGCCTCAGCATTTGATTCCATAGCAAGACTCATTAATTGAAGTGTAGAGGCCTAATCAAAGGTGTCCGTTCGAAGCTCAAACTGGGCGATAAATCCTGTGTTATTATTCACTGCTGTTATATAGCGGAAGGGTTAGTATCTAATGTTTTTAGCCAGCAACAGCTGAATAACCACATCCTGGTAGACTATGTATGTATAATGTACCAACGTATCCTTTCTTACTTTTCTCAGACTCACAAACAACAATAATGTTCAGATGTTGCCTGTACAAACGGCGCGTGTTCGTATAATTTATTATTCGAAATGTATCGTTATAATTATCATTATTAATAACCAAGTGTTAGGTAAGCGTTAGACTTTCCAGGTCACCTCCATGATCAATAAGTCCCAAGTTTCAGTAATTGTGAAGTTTTGGTCCAATGGAAATCTTTTATCTTTTAGTTGTGGTTAGGCACTGTGAACAAAGTAACGTTTCGACCAGTAGGTGATAGTCTTGACTGGGGTTTGTCGCGCCAATAACTAATCTTCAAATTCACCCAAGCCAACAGTTGGAAATGAAGTGTTTTCTACAGTGAAAAATATAAACAAAGCAGCACGGAGGGAAAAGGATCGAGAATTCCAAAAAGGAATGCGTTTCCTACTACCACATTTCTCCTTACTTGAACGTCTTTTCTATGGCGTTAGTTGTCCGTACTTAAGGACAAATTCGTGCTACTACACAGTTTAGGGCTCTTATACGTGTTCACTATGTCCGATAGAGCAGAATGTGCAGTTAATAGTGAGTGAGAATTTATAGGAAAGTCTTCTCAACGTTACGTGTGAAGAGTCAGCGCTGGTGTGGTAGATATCTCATTAGATGCAAGAGGATCCAGCATATTACGTGTCATAAGGGATAGTGACGGTGCATTCACCAATCCGGCTAATCTATATCAGAATAAAAAGTCACCGGGCAACCAAGGAAATTCGGCGAATGATTTGGATGCCCTAACTTCACTGGGAAGTTTGTTCTAAACCTAAGGGAACCTAACGGTTTAAAAATTGGCATGTTAAGAGGAGTTAAAGGGCTTCGGTGTGACTCTTTGGGCGTTGATGCGTAGATCACGGTAACTGCCGTATCCCAACTGGAACTCATCACTGGCTGTGAGGGCCAATTCGCACAGCGTGTTAAAGAAGAGCTTGAGGGTGACCCCGAGTGGTCTCATACAAAGTAGTCCCATACTTAGGACTCTAAATCTGGACTTGTGGTCCTGCTTGCATTGGTGTCCCCGTAATCCGGATATAAAATATTTTTGACCACCCTCTATTATTAGCTTGTCGTTAACGCATATACAACCCAAAATAGATGAAGAGTATTCTAGCAGGAAACGTACGCAATATCCGTTCAGCAGTACCTTAGTATCTGTAGCGGCCAGAATCCAATAATCTTGGCCTGAACGCGGGAAATAGCTAGGCGGTGCCAACTGACGTGAATCTGACTAGTTCCTGCGTTCTACTGTATAGCTTCCTAACTTCCGCGAGTGACGCACAGTCAAAGGTTGGATCGAAATATCAAAACACGGTTTGTAGTAATTCAATAGTAGATTCGTAACAAAATCTGTGGTACTATCAAAGCAACAATAAGTTATGTCAAATTACAAAAATACCTCAACAGTGCCGTTGGGTAACTATACAGTCCAAAACGTTCTCGGGTACAAATACGTACTACACGGTAAAAACTGGTTAAAAAATACAACTGTTAAATACCTGTCGGTCAATAGGAATATTCCCGGCAAAAGGGATCAAAACTCTGCCTACAGGAATCAAATCAACAAACAAACGTTCCCAGTAGACAGTCAAAAGACAAACAGTCAAATCACTGCACAACCGTAAGTTGAACCAAAACAAAATGTCGTGCGCAGTAAAACAACATCACCTTATCAACAGTCCAGCGTCACATAATAGGAAAGTGAAACACTCATAATAAGTCTCAAACATACAAAGGCAAATACCGAGTGTAAAGTCAAATAAGACAGTTAAACAAGCAAATAACATTACACCGGCGAGGGTCAAAGGTACACCATCCACAACGAGGGTAAAAATGTTAAAATAAATGTCAATACAATCAAATAAGGGTGATCGGGAGGGATTTTCAGATCATTTTTCCTTTACACCGGCCACCAAAATCCCTCCAGACACGCAAAACACCTCTGTGTATTCAGCCGTGGCTCTATCTACCTAGCTGTCTGCATACTCTATCTTTCTTCTACTCCCTCAAGAAGACAAAGCTTTCTTATATCTCTTCTCACGGTACCTTCCTTCATACGCACCATCACAGTTCTTACTAAATCGTCTTCGTCCTTCTCGCATGTTTCGATCACTCCCAAAGGCCAGGAACCACGTGGTGTTTTTTCAGAGGCCACAATCACCACATCTCCCTCCTTGAAATTTCTTTTCCTTCCCAACCACTTCTGACGAGTTTGCAAGCATGGTAGATATTCTTTCATCCATCGGCGCCAAAATACGTCAGCTAAGTAATTAACTTGTTTCCATCCTTTCTGCACGCGACAGACCGGTAAAGGGGCCATCATCTGCTGACCCAGTGCAGCTTTCAATCGTCGGCACTCTATGCACTTTCTTATCACCCGTTTGACCGCACTGATCCCCTTAATTATCCAATAGTTTCTTCGTAGAGTGGCCAGGACTTGCGAAGTACCAGTATGTCCTTCTATAATATGATAATGCCTTATGATCAGCTCAGTCACGAAGTGATGTCTGGG